AGAGAAGACATCTAGAAAAAGATCATCACACAAGCATTAGTTAACAACGTGTTATGTTGCATCAGGCTATTCAATAAAAATTTTTCAACAAAGTATCTTAGTTAAGCGAATTTTGTTTACTTTTAATATTGCGAATTTCTCATTTCATTAATTATGCTTGGGACGATACGAATCTTTTTAAATCTTTAATTTATCATATTTTATCAAATTTTTATATTTCAAATTAGAATAATTTGATTAATTAAAATCCTCAATTAGAATAATATAATAAGGAATCATACAATTCAAATTATAAATGATTGTTAATAATAAATATTAGTAATATTAGCAGCTTTTTGAAAATTCCAATTATCAATTATTATTTGGATCTTTCGATCAAAAGGGATGCTTCAACATATCGTTTCCTCCAACTTGCTATTTTTCCTCGCAATCTTTCATCAAGTCAAGTTTGCAAGCGTACGTGTAACAACTTTCAGCGCGAATAATTTACGATTCTCAAGCTATCGTCTTCAACAAAAAGAGAGATTACTTGTTTTCGAGCCAGATATATTTATAAATATTTGAAAAAAAGTCGTAATGATAATGACTGACGTAATCGTTTCAACGACGCCATACAATTTTTGCGTCTACGTTACGCAATTTTTACCATTTCTATAAGTCTGTCTGTAAAAAAAAGAAAAAAAAAAAAATTCCCACAATATCTAACAAAATGTAACAAAATGTCGAAGCATTTCTTAATAGAATTCAATCACGATGAAGAAATTGGTGGAATATATAAACAAGTGGGTGGCAAGGAACCGCGATTATTCTCTTTCTGATTTCAGAAACACGTAATTGATTAAATTAATGACTCGTCTGATGCAGCATTAATTGGCGATATATATTGGCTTGTCACTCGCCGATTAATTTATCACGAACGTTTCGATCCGATTGAACGTTCCAATTCTGAAGATTCATCCTTATCCTCATTCCATTATTTGTTCTTGATCCTTTTTCTGTTAAAGAATCATTGAATTATCGGTAATATAAAATGTACCAACGAAAGGGAAAATTATATATATATATTTTATAAATTAATTATGAATTCGATTAAATTAAATTTTAATAAGATTTTATATAAAAATTATTCTTACATATTATTTATCCAAAAGAAATATTTTTTATTGGAAAAATAAACTTTGTACTGAAATTGAACAACGCGTATTTTAAAATGGAAGAAAAAAAGGAAACAATTGATATATATTTTAACAATATATTATTGAACGTTCTATGAGAATAGGATTCTTATTGTCATGGATTTCACGTATATCAGGCGACGCGTGGATCGCGTTAAGTAAGTAATTTCTTAATGAACCACGTAGAATTGATAACTTATACTCGAGCGTCGATGTACTCAACCCCTTTCCAGACAAGCTACCGATAAGAAATCGTACAGAGAACGTCCTTCCTGCCATGCACCGACTTATATCGATACTTTCTTTTCGTTCCTTCTTCCATTTTCTTTATATTTTTCCTTCTTTTTTTTTCTTTTCAACTAGTCTCGATAAAGAAATTTAACGAAATATAGAAATCTCGCGAATAATTGAATTATCAGAAAAAATCCTCCCCGCCATAAACCGATTTTATTCCAAGTTTAATTTCGTTCGATATTTTACACGAATCGTGTAAATTTGCCTTAAGTCGGAAGATAACGGAGTTAATACCCTCTATATCGCAATAAAATAATCATTGTATTAAAATATTTGTAAACGAGTGCAAGCTTAACATTTAAAAACAACGGTGTAATCAAATTAAGAAATAAATTCTACTCTCGTTTATCTCGACAAAACAAGCTTATAACTGATAATAATAATAAAACTCGCTGTAAAAGTCAATCGACACGACACGAACTCTAAATCCATCTTATACAAACATATACAATTATACAAGAAGCGTTTGTATCATAACACTTCCTATATTAAATTTCGTATCATTTACACGGTACAATCATTCGAGACAATATGTCTTCTAACCTTTCTCTCGAGTTGCGACTACATTTCGTAAAAAAATTCAAACAACTTACTTAAATAACCTCATCCTCTTTCATCCAAAACACAAAACAAACAAACAAGAAGAAGAAGAAAAAAAAAAAAAGAATCGAAAATCAATCAACTGGCAAAAATAATTTCTCCATCCATATTCTTCTAAGAAAGTTAGAAAACTGATTGCCTTACAACTCAGAGCAAAACATCACCCAAACATCCTTCCAATTCATTTCTATTACTCACCTCCTGAGGGTAAAAGGGTGCCTGGAGCGAAACGCAGATCGCGTTCGCGAAATCGGCGATGCTGATGACGATCAACGTGAGCCATTGCCTCTTGGTGAATTGGGCCATCATCTTTGTTAACGGCCTCGTCCTCTCCTTCGACCAGCTTCCTTCCTTCTCTCGACTGAACCACCGAGCCAATGTCCTCCTAAACTCGTATCCCTCGGCCCACCATCGGGGCAGACCTCCTCTCGCCACCGATCTCGGCACCCACCCTTCGCCGCCCTTTCGTGCACGGATTACGATTAAATGGTGCGTCGCCGCGCGTGTTCAACAGCGACAACAACGCCAAAGCGGCTTGGCGCGCTCTCGAAACGGTTGTGCGACAACGAGGCGAGGAACCGGCTACTTTTCAACAAGGAATCATTGCTACAGGAGGGAGAGAGGACGTGACACGGAGGGGTCATAGGTCATAACGATACGATACTACCGCGATTCTAATTCCCATTATCGGCAGACATGTTGCGCGACTTTCTACGACTTTTTCGTTCCTTCCTTGCGAGCATGGTCGAGCGTGGACGAGGTACTCACGGGTCGTTGGATCGTTGGAGTGAAAATTTTGGAGGGAAACTTTGAGGTTCGAGAGATTCTCGCTTGTGAAGGTTCGTGGATCGGACGGATATGATGATTGGATCGAGCGAAATTTTGATTTTTGTTTTGCAGAAGAAGTGATTTGTATGATTTTTGGTTATAAAGAATCGTGGATGGGATATATGATGATTGGATCGAGCGAAATTTTGATTTCTGCAAAGCAGAAGAAGTGATTTGTACGATTTTTGGTTATAAAGAATCGTAGATAAGATATGTGATGGATGGATCGAGCGAAATTTTGATTTTTGTTTTGCAGAAGAAGTGATTTGTACGATTTTTGGTTATAAAGAATCGTAGATAAGATATGTGATGGATGGATCGAGCGAAATTTTGATTTTTGTTTTGCAGAAGAAGTGATTTGTACGATTTTTGGTTATAAAGAATTGTGGATGGGATATATGATGATTGGATCGAGCGAAATTTTGATTTCTGCAAAACAGAAGAAGTGATTTGTACGATTTTTGGTTATAAAGAATCGTAGATAAGATATGTGATGGATGGATCGAGCGAAATTTTCATTTTTGCTTTGCAGAAGAAGTGATTTGTACGATTTTTGATTATAAAGAATCGTGGATGGGATAGATAGATCGAGCGAAATTTTATGGAATTTTGATTTTTGCTTTGCAAAAGAAGTGATTTGTTCGATTCTTGTGCTTGTGAAGATCGAGTGATGTGATTCTTGTTTGATTTTTGTTTATGAAGATGAATGAGGGATTTTGATTTTTGATACAATGTTGAAAGATAACATTAAATGACGAGGAATTAAATATTTTCAATTAATGAGAGTGATTTGAGATGATAATTTATTATATTTGATTTATATATAAGTGGTGAGAAATTTTATTTTATTTTTATGATTTTGATGATTTGAACTTTTTTTATTAATTCATGGAAAATATACGATTGATGATTCTAGAGAATTCTAGGGAATTTTTTACTGATTTCTCGAAGTGTAAAGTTTCCAAGAATATTTTTTCTCATTAATTCATGGAATATTTAAAATGGAAAAATTTGTTCTTCGTTCAATCTACAGGGAATTAATAAAACGAACGATTAAAACATGTATGAAACTATCTTGACATTTTTATTTATATCTTTAATTGAATTCTAAATTTAAAATTTTATTATTACACGTATATTTAAGGCATGATATCTTCTACGATAGATCTACAATACTTGAATCATAATGAAAACATAAAATATAAATGTTTTCAATAATGACTAATGCCATGTGTCGTCGTTACGTACCTTTGTAAACAAGAAACTATCGTAATCCTGGCAGACAATGTTACATCGTACACAGAAAATCTTATTATCTCGAATTTTCACACGTTGTTCGAAAAGATTTCTAGATAGGTAGTGCGACAAAATTATTTACTTAAGTACGTAGAATTATATTTTTATTTTTCCTTTCTCGTTCCCGTTTAATCTGACATTTCGATAAGAAGAAATATCTTTGGAAATAAAAATTCATTTGTCCTAAACTTCGATATAATATTTGAACAACAATAATCATTTTGTCGAGATAAATGTAAAAGGAAAATTATCAGAAGATAAAATTAAATTATACCGTATTAGAATTATAGATGTAATCTCGATGCAAGAAATATTGCAAAATTGAATACATTTTTAGGTCAGCAATAATTCTGTCTTTAATGCACGGTGTATGTACCGTACATCATCGATAATGCAAATGTCAAACGAAAGATCACTGCATTGCAATTGAAATTAACGATAAGTAATTACAATAATACTAGACATTTGTTTCGAAATACAACTGAAAATGGTACAATATAGAGACATCTCTGAATTTGTTCTTTGAACTCGTTCTTCTGAAAATTATAAAGATCATAAATAGAATGAAATTAAAAAAGAATATAGAAAAATTAAAATATAGGTAGATAGAAATATAGGATAGAAAGGAATCATCCTAAGGAAAGAAAAACTTTCCAAAATTTCACTTTTAAAAGAAATAAAAAAAAAACAAAAGAAAAGAAAAGAAAAGAAAAACTTTCAACCAAAGTTCAAACAACCAAAAACAACTTCACTCAAACACCATCTCGTATAATAATCCTTAAAAAAAAAACGATAAATTTCCCCGAATTAATATCATTCTTCTTCTTCAATCCACATCAATGCACAATTTTAAATCGTCAAAATAATCTGTCCATCAATATCCATGAATCCTTCTCCATTCTCACCTTTCTCATCGATTCACGTTCCAATTCCACGTGTAAAATCGTTTCAGAAAAATGAAATAAAAAAAAAAAAAGAAAAAGAAAGGAGAGTGATTCTCAAAAGAATTAGAGAACGAGCTACGTGTCACGAAGCCAAACTTTCAACGGGACCTTGTTCAAAGCCTTGCCAAGGAAATTCTTAAAGTGTTTCGCGATACTGGCGCTCGCTGCCGGTCTCATCTCCTCGATGATCTCCTTCGCGTTCTGGTTGAGGAACTGGTTCATCGCTTGGCCGATCACGTTGTCGCCGTTCAATTGATCGACCACCCGGAAACGGGCGCGGCCAAGACCGAAATCGACCAGCATCCGCGCCACTTTCAAATAACGAACCCCATCGCGGATCTCCTCCGCGCCCTGGATACGGGCGACCGCCTGGACATCACCTGCAATTCCATCATTTTCTCTCTTTCTTTCTTTCTTTTTTTTTCTGTTCCCGATTTTTACCGAGTTTTTCAAAGTGAATTTTCGAATTTTCGAAGCAAGCAAGCAAACATTATTATGGATACCAAAATTTCTATGGCGAAGGAGATTTCGATTAACTTTTATTTTTTTCTCTCTATTACATCGTTGTGGATCGATATAATTTTTTTTCTTTTGGGAAAAGAAAATTTTGACAGAAGAACTCATTCTTATTTGAATGAAATTATTTCGAAGATTTAAAAAAATGGATAGTGTAAAATTTAAATAAGTGTACTTCTATGATCTCGTCATGATGATTGCCAAGGGATTGATCAATTTTTTTAAATGTAAATGAAAATTTTTAATCCCTGTTCAATTAACTATGAATACCTTTAGCAGACTTGTCAACATACAATATAAATTATAAAAATATTTAAAATAATTATATGAGTATCAAATATGTTATTCAAAAGATTGTTTTGTTTGTTCTGATTAATATCCATAGAAGCTTATTTCATAAATGAAGAAAGGATAATGTAATCGGCTCACCGAAGAGGGCCCAAAATTCGCCATGGCTCTGAATGGGGAAGAGCAACACGTTTCCCACGACCTCGTAACGGCCTTGAAGTTCGATCTTCGGGAATGCTAAATGAACGTCAAGCCTGTAAGTTTTCACATCGACTCGTGACTTCGTTAACGAGTAATTTCCAGCTCCTATAACCGTGATATTTGAGAACAATGCCCTGACACGAACAGCCCCTTGGCCGTTCTCCATTCCCAGTTCGGGGATGATCAGTGGTTCGATCGGGGGCAAGTCCAATTCAGGAATACCTATGCAAATATAATTGATGATGTGACGTGGATAATTTGAGAATTTATCCAGAAATTTTTAACAAAATTTAAGAGAAATAAAGATCGGGAATTTATTCAATGAGATTTGGTTTATATATATTCGATTCGTATTTTATTTTCGTATAAATATGTGCGATGACTGGTGTAAATTTCGAAATAAAGATGAGAGAAGCATTCAAGTATATTTTAATATAAATGTATCTTGATATAAATTTCGAAATAAACACGAGAAATGAAGCAAAGTCGCAGAAAAACTTCTAATTTATATAAAGTAACTCAAGTAAAACGAAATTACACTGATTGCACCTTATATAAACCTACTGATTTCGAGAGCTTATTACATAATATATCTTCATTCTAATTTCATATTCTGTTTATTGTTCAATTTTCTTTTTCTTTTAGACAATAGAATCAAATTTAAATTCGTATATCTTTCATATAATCTAAATTTTGTATCTCTGTCTTAAATATTATATTCTTAAAGTGTAATATATACTTCAGTTAAATAGTATTTCAGTATTTCGTGATACAAAAATAATAATAATAAAGAATTAATTTTAAGAATATTCTTAAAATGTTTACTCACCCTTCAGCAAATATGGCTGCAGATGATTCAACGTATTTTGAAAGCACACGTCTATCTTGGGATCTGACCTACTGCAGGGTAATATGTATTCAGCTGTGAAAAAGTACAAAATTTTGAAAGAATAGAATCTGAAATTTTTCATGTTACTATAGAATGGAGGGTGAAATTTTCATTTCAGATTGTTATATTTTATTTACACATCTTTCCACTTCTTCTATCTTTATGCAATCACTTCCAGTGTCTTCAGAAATTTATCCAATTTCTCGATTATTTTGTCGTTCCTTGTCAACTCTTAATATGGATTAAATTAAAATATTACGTAATTATATAAATATTAAAATATGTTAAAATTATTAGAAGATAGAGAAAAATATTTTGCTCGTTTAATTAATATTATATATTTCTTTTTAAATATTTTACTTGGCATTGAAAGAAATTTCTACTTACTTCTTTATTATGCATTATTATTCACAAGATTGATAAGAGACTATTTTATTTATTTTTTTTTCATGAAAATATATTAAAAATATTCGAACTTGACACATAATTCAATTCATAAAATCTTTGAAATATTCCCAGAATTGATTCTTATCCTGATAGAGATCACGGAAATTTTTCACATACAAGACTTTTGAAATACTAATTTTCTAGATATTATCATTGACAAGGAATAATAAAACTCTATTACAACATCGAACCAAATCGAATATGATATTTACAAAATGTACCAAAATTTCAATCTCGTTGAATATCTCAATGATATAATGTTAATACAATTACAAACACAAAAATAAAATTTATAAAAAAAACTAAGAAACAAACTTATTACTCAATCCAACGAACAGACAATATTTTGAAGTTACATAGATCACAAAAAAAAAAAAAAGAAAAAGAAAAAGAAATCATAAACGTTTATCCAGAAACGACTTCCTCTATTCGAATTTTTCTCTATTTCGTTACGAAGCAATTTCCCTCGAACACAAGTCACAATTTATAAAAATACGAATTCCTTAAAACTTTAAGAACTTCTTACTAAGCGATCATACTCTACGTTGTTACATCAGCGAAGAAAATTTACGACGCATAATTTTCGCTACTTTCTTTTTCCCCACGTGTTACAAAGGGATACGAAAAACTTATTTTAATTTATTTTAATTTTTGGAATTTATTATCCCTCTCTTTTTTTTTTTTTCTTCACTCATTCCATCCAGTTCGAAACTGAATCCACTTGTTTTCCCGTATAATAAATCGTTAAACTATAAAATTATTTTATCATTTTACTCGAAACTCGTTAAATTTTAATACAAGTCATTACTTTTAAAGATTTCTTTTTTTTTTTTTTTTTTTTTTTTTTTTTT